CATTGAGTTACAGCCCCAGCCCTTTTTATTTATTTATTTATTTTAAATTTTAGGCAGAATCGTGTTAAGTTGCTGAGGTTGGCCTTGACTTGCAATCCTGCCTTAGCCTCCCAAATCACTGGGACTCCGGGTGTGTGCCACCACACTGGGTTCCCTTTCACTTTTAAACATATCCAAGTCTCTCCCTTCTTTAAACCTCCCCTTACTAGGCTCTCAAGTTACTACCCTATGTCTATCTGTCTCTTTTTTTCTTTTTTTTGGCACCGAGGATTGAACTCAGAGGCACTTAACCACTGAGCCCTGTTTTGTATTTTATTTAGAGATAGGGTCTCACTGAGTTGCTAAGCACCTTGCTAAATTGCTGAGGCTGGCTTTGAACTCACCATCCTCTTGCCTCAGCCTCCCGAGCTGCTGGAATTACAGGCATATCCCATCATACCCGGCCTGTCTCTTTTTCTCACTCTTGCATCTTATGGTCTTAACTTCTTGAAGGAGTTGCCTATTGGGACAACTATAGGGGTCTCCCATTTCCTCTCCTCTAACTTCTGTATCTCTCCAAGGTCACTCCTCTCTAAGATCACCCCACACTTGCATGGATATTTTGCAGTCCTTATGTTGCTTGATATCTCAGCAGCAGGCAACTCATCTGACCTTTCCTACCAACAGTCTGCTGGTGTCCCTTACCTTTCTGATTCTCTGTGGTACAAGGAAGGAACTTTCTCTGTCTGTTCCTTAAACCACAGAAGCCTTTCTTAGATCCTATGTCCTTTGTGCTGTATACATCCTCCCTGGATGGTCTTATTTTCTCAAACAATTTCCATATCCTGGTAAGTACCACATCTCTAGATCTTTCTTTGGAGCTCCAGTCTAATCCACTCTCCACCAAAAACAAACAAACAAACAAACTAAAACTCTACTTGGATATGTCACAGGTATCACAAACTCAGTACATACTAAACTGAACATGTCAATTTTCTTCACAAATCTGTTTTTCTTTCAGTACCACTATTCAATCATACTTAAATTCAATAAATATTTATTGAATGCTACTACCATATGTACATTAGGCATTGTCAGTTATGATGGGAAAGGGTCTCTGATCTCTTAAAACAATTAGAATACAGTGTGATAATAATCACTATAATAGAGGAAGTTCTAGTATCTTGTAGAGTACACAGTGTGCACCATTGCACATGTCAGAAACCAGCAGTTGGCCTCAATTCTCTAGTTTCCTCACCACCTGCATTGATTCAACTGATTACTAAATACTGCCATTTTTATCTCTCCATATCTAATTTTTTTCTTTTTTGATGGTGCTGGGGTTTGAACCTAGGGCCATGTACATACTATGAAAATACTCTACAACTGATTATAGCCCAGACCTACCTACAATTCCTCTCTCTCACTCTCTTTTTGTACCCGGTATTGAACTCAGGAGCATTTACCCACTCAATCACATCCTCAGTCCCCCCCTTTTATAGTTGTAGATGGACAGTCTGACTTTATTTATTTTTTTAATGTGGTGCTGAGGATCAAACCCAGTGCTTCACACATGCTAGGCAAATGCTCTGCCACTGAACTACAGCCCCAGCCCCCAGCCCTTTTTATTTTTTATTTTGAGACAGTATCTTGCTAAGTTGCTTAGAGCCCTGCTAAATTACCTAGGCTGGCTTTGAACTTGGGATATTCCTGCCTCAGCCTCCTAAACTGCTGGGATTACAGGTATGTGCCTATATAAAAAAATATGTATATATATATATATATATATATATAAAATATGTATGCATATACATATATTAATATATAATATATGTATGTATATTATATATATAAACAAACATACACATATATACAAATACATATGTGTGTGTGTGTGTGTGTGTATGTGTATTTGATAATGGGGATCTAACCTAGGGGTGCTTTATCACTAAGCTACATTCCCAGCCTTTTTTTAAATTTTGAGATATGGTCTCACTAAATTGCTGAGACTGGCCTCAAACTTGCAATCCTCCTGTCTCAGCCTTTTGAGTTGCTGGGATTATAGGCATGTGCCACCACCACTCCTCCTCCTTTCCTCCTCCTTCTCTTCCTTCTTCTTTTCATGGACTTTTTTTTAGGGTAGTTTAAGTTTACAGTACATATATTTTTAGAAACATTTCATTGACTTTAGACCTTACTGAGTTCTGATTATGTAGAGTGTAGCAGTATCAGAAGCTCAAGCATGTTGATTATGAATTGCTTGAAAATTAAGACTAAATAACAGATTAATTGTATTGCTTCTTCAATATATTGTAGGTCCTTGATATTCCTGAAGGATATGTTCCAAGACCTTCTTGACTCCCAAATAAAAGAATTTTGCTCTAGGATGAAATTGCTTTGTTGCAACTACTACCTCTTTACCTCTTTAATAAGTTCCTAATTAGTCTCCTTGTATATAGTTGTGCTCCCCTCCCATCTTCCCCTGGCACAACAGCCACAGTGATCTTCTAAAAACAAATATGGTGGGCTGGGGATATAGTACAGCTTTCCTAGCATGCACAAGGCCCTGAGTTCAATCCCCAGTTCCACCAAAAATACATAATACATACATACATACCCACAAATGTGCCCTGCTACTCCTCTGACTTAAACTTTTCAATGGCTTCTCATTGTCTTGAGTAAAGTTGAAATTTTACAATGTAATTTACAGAGATTTTTCCTTTTTTTTTTTTTTAAGTACCAGGTATTGAACCCTGGGCACTCAACCACCGAGCCATATCCCCAGCCCTTTTTTATATTTTATTTAGAGACAGAGTCTCACTAAGTTGCTTAGGGCCTCACTAAGTTGGAGAGGCTGGCTTTGAATTTAAGATCCTCCTGCCTCAGCCTCACAAGCTGCTGGCATGTGCCACCACACTTGGCTGAGATTTTCCCACTCATCTAGCCTTTTCATACTCCCCACCAGAAACTCCACACTGTAGCCTTATGCTAATTCCTCAGATTCCTAAAGGGCTCTGAGATCTTGATCCTTTGCATATGTTATTTCCTCTGCCTGAAACATTTCCCTTCTCCAGTCTTTCAGTCTTTGCCTTCTTAACTCTGATTCATCATTCAGATCTCAGCTGAAATTTCATTTGGACAATAAGGCGTCTCAGGTTTCACAAACATTATCTACCTTGTATAACTATCAACATATTTTAAAGATTATTAGAATCCAGGCATGGTGGTGTATGCTTTTAATCCCTGGAACTCAGGAGACTGTGGCAGGAGGATCAGAAATTAGAGGTCAGCCTAGGTAATTTATTGAGATCCTGCCTCAAAATAAAATGGATAAGTCTTCAACATACCCCTAGTATGATTATTTGATTTTCTGTTTTTCAGGAAGTTTATTAATGCTGCCAAGGTAGCCCACATCTACTTTGTTGATAATTGTATCTTTAATACCTTATATGGTTCCTGACACAACGTATCCTCTCTGTGATTCAGTTCTCTCATTGGTAAAATAAAAGAAACTACCTCATATCTATTTTTTTTGGTGTGTTTCAACAACTGCTATTTTATTATAGCTCACAAAGCTACAATTTTATGGGGCAGAAATGTGAATAGACCCCAGCTGGGTATTTCTTCTATCCCATGTAGCATGGACTCACTAAAGCTCATTTGGTGGTTTCATAGAGTAGATGGGTTTGTCTGGAAGACTTCACTCTCATGTCCAGCATCCTCCATGGGGTTGCTGGAATGCTGAGATGATGTGGAGTTGCCAATCGAAATGTCTACATGAGGTCTCAGGGTAATAGAATTGCTTTACATGGAAGCTCAAGGTTACCAGGGTGTTCCAAATAGCCTTAGCAAAAATGCAAAGCATCTTCTTGGTGCTGCTGCACATTGAACCCAGGGCCTCAGGTTTACTAAGTGTGCACTCTATCATTGAGATATACCCCTAGCCTCCTTTGCAAAGCTGCTTATGGCTTAACTTCAAAAGGTCTAGGACATCATAGTTTGTTTTTTTGTTTAAGAATTATATGAATTAATGTATGTAAAATGCTTAGAACAATGCCTGGCTTATAAGTACTATTAGGTGTTAATTATACCATTTTTTTTTTATGCTGGGGTTCCAACCCAGGGCCTTGTGCATGGTATGCAAACACTCTATCACTGAGCTACATCCCCAGCCCTACCACATATCCTTAAAAAAAATATAAATAAACAAAACATTATTATATAGTTTATAATAAATCATGACTATATATTATACTAATTATTATATATAATATACATTATACTAATTATTATATATGACAATTAGAGTCGCTTTCCCAATTATTTTTACGTGTTTCCTAGCATATGCTTATTGTGAAACAATTTTACTTTCCTTCAATTTGACCTTTCTCTTAAAGATGCTCTTCACTGAGCCACATCCCCAGCCTTTTTTTGTAATATTTTATCTAGAGATAGGACCTCGCTAAATTGCTGAGGCTGGTTTTGAACTCGCAATCCTCCAGCCTCAGCTTCCCGAGCCGCTGGAATTACAGGCGTGCGCCACGACACGGGCTCCTTCTCTTCTTTTGATGGGATTGTCTAGCTTATATGAGCTGCAGACTGATGTGAATCAATATTTTAGTGAGCCATATCCTTTTTGAGTATATCTACACTAATTTCCAGTTTATCACTAAAGTAAGCTCATCGTTAATTGCTCATTCTAAAACTCTAATCTTTTAACAACTTGAATCAAGAGTCGGTGATTGCGAGTAGCCGTAGTCATAATCGTTATTTTATCTTTGACAACTACAGGACCACAAAAAGCCACGGTTTCAGTCACAGCCTCAAAGCCGCCGGGCCCAAGAAGCAAACGTCTCTAACTCTCCCACCTAAAAAGTGCTGCTCTAGCACTGCATTTATGGCTTCCTTGGTCTCGATGGTACCCTTTTCCTGTTTCCCAGTGTTGCATGACGGGGAGAAATAGTTCTCTTTCCGGGAGTCGACCGCTGGCCACACTTAAGACCGAACTTCATTTCCCGGGGTGCCTCGCGGCGGCCGCTCAGCCCAGCGGCGGGAGGCCGGTTCCGGTTGCATCAGCGTCGGATTCATCTCCAAATGAGACTGTTCGTGAGCGAGGGCGCCCCGGGGAGCCTGCCGGTGCTGGCTGCGGCCGGGAGGGCCCGGGGCAGAGCTACAGAGCTGCTCATCAGCACTGTAGGCCCCGAAGGTACTTGGGGTGGTGCTGGTGGGCAGTGGATGGCGGTGGGTGGGGGGACAGAAACACAACCGACGCTCACCCGGCGCTTGTTTTCGCGAATCCCCTGGAATGTACCACACATTACCTTACCTTTCCTTTCCTTGGTCACTCCATTAACTTTTCCCTTCCTGTCACATCCTTCATCAGTTATTTACCCTCAATATACTCTTTCCTCATTTTCATCTTCCCCTCTTTCATCTTTCAGCATCCTGAGCTTGGCCTCCTCTTCCTAACCTTTCACACCTGTTAGGCAGCTCCCCTCCACTCTATCACCGTCTCCAGGAACCTTTTTGTTATTTTTTAGGACCCTGCCCCTTAAGACACAAGGTATTTGTATGCACACACATCTTTCAGTTCTTTCTCTTCTCATGCCCAGCTTAAGAATCCTTTTGATTGACCTCAGGGGCGCTTAACCACCGAGCCACATCCCCAGCGGCCCTCACCCCCCCTTTTTTTTAGTTGTAGTTGGGCAAAACATCTTTATTTTATTTATTTATTTTTGTGTGGTGCTGAGGATCCAACCCAGCACCTCTCACATGTCGGTCGAGTGCTCTACTGCTGAGCCCCAGCCCCAGCGCCCACAGCCCTTTTTAAAATATTTTATTAGAGACAGGGTCTCGCTAAGTTGCTGAGGCTGGGTTTGAACTCGGTGATCCTCCTGCCTTAGCCTCGTGAGTCGCTAGGATTAAAGGTGCGTGCCACCAGGCCCAGTCCCCAGTTTAACTCTTAAGCGGTCGTCGTGTTAGTCCTCCCATTTTTCTTAATTCTGACCTCCCATTGGGACTTCAGATTATTCTCAGGATATGCTAGTTGCTTTGAGTTGTTATAGTTTTTGGCTGCAGCAATATCCCAATACTCACCACGTCCTCTGAAATCCCATCTGTTGTTTCCAGCTGACAGTCTCAACTGAACACCTGCTGACCTCTCCAGTATATTCTGGAATCCTGTTTCAGTGGTCCTATCCTAGAACTTCTGTGATGATATTGCCCATCTTACTTCTGTTTTTCTGGGAATAATTTATAGTTGTCTTAAATTAACAAAGTATATTTTTTTTCCTCTTTCTCTCTCTCATTTTTTTCTTTCCCTTGTTTTTCACCCATTTTCTTCTTCTGCATCAGAGTGTGTGGTCCCGTTCCTGACCCGGCCTAAAGTCCCTGTCTTGCAACTGGATAGTGGCAACTACCTCTTTTCCACTACTGCAATCTGCCGGTCAGTATTGGTCCTTGTGAGGGAGGTGGTTTGCTCAAAGCACACCTCTGTGTTGTTTGTGTGACTAATTATTTGCAACCATTGTTTCACTGAGGGATGAGAAATAAGACTAGGTAAATGGGTCCTTCTAATTTCACCTTCTCTTGTTCTCTCCCTGGGCAGATACTTCTTTCTGTTATCTGGCTGGGAGCAAGATGACCTCACCAACCAGTGGCTAGAATGGGAAGCAACAGAGCTGCAGGTGGGCTAAGGCACAGGGAATGGCAGGTAGGTCCTTGCTGTGCATGGCCACCTTGACCTGTGTCCCTTTCATTTTAGCCAGCTTTATCTGCTGCCTTGTACTACTTAATTGTCCAAGGAAAGAAGGGGGAAGATGTTCTTGGACTACTTCGGAGAGCCCTGACTCACATTGACCACAGCTTGAGTCGACAAAACTGTCCTTTCCTGGCTGGGGTGAGTTGGTCTCGAGATGGGGTGTGGGGAAGATTTACAGTGTAAGAATTAATAGGGAAGACTGTATTCAGAGTGTTCAGACCCCAACACTGTCACTAGCAGTGTAATTTACTATTAAGACAAATGTCTTGGGCTGGGGCTGTAGCTCAGTGGTAGAGCGCTTGCTATGCACGTGTGATCCTCAGCACCACATAAAAATAAATAAAGGTATTGTGTCCATCTACAACTAAGAATTATAAAAAAAAGACAAATCTCTTAAACTGTCTAATCCTCCATTTTTTCCTTGTGCAAAATGGAAATAACATTAATATCTGTGAACACCTCTGTATCTCAATGAGTTATGTTGAGTATTGAGATAATATAATATGCTTAACACAGTGCTTGACCATAGCAGTTTTTCAGTGAGTATTAGATATTATTACTGTTAGGAAAAAAAAAAAGTGCCTTATCAGTGTACCTTTTTCTTTTCTTTTCCCAACCAAGGAAACAGAATCTCTAGCAGACATTGTTTTGTGGGGAGCACTATACCCATTACTCCAAGACCCAGCTTACATCCCTGGTGAGAATTATGTATATCACTTTACCCCACCCCAAACCCCAGGAGTTTAGTATAAGAGTTACAGAACAGACAGTTGAGGATCCAGTTGAGGATGCAACTTGATACTTGACAGGGCAACTATAGCGAATATGGCTGCAGGAACTAGGGAAAGCAACTGGAGAAACCTTTGAAACTTTTAAAGAAAGTGAGGAGGTCCTGCCTTGCCTGCTCAATCCAGGTCCTGTGCTTGCTGATTCTCTTTTTTCTCCCATGACCATAGAGGAACTGGGTGCCCTGCGTAGCTGGTTCCAGACTCTGACTACTCAGGAGCCATGTCAGCGAGCTGTAGAGACTGTGCTGAAACAGCAGGGTGTCCTGGCTCTCCGGTCTTACCTCCAAAAGCAGCCTCAGCCCAGTCTACCTGAGGAGAGGGCTGTCAGCAATGAGCCTGAGGTTTGGAACAGGACAGGGCATCTTCACGGAGCCCTGGGCCCTGAGGTGGGAGGTGGCTGGGAGAGAAATGTTGAGTACTTGTCTAATTTCTTTAATTGTTGGAGAGAGTTTCTTTACCTGTGGTGCCCCTTCACTTGTTAAGGGATTCTATACTCTCTTTGTAGGAGGAGGAGCTGGCCACCCTATCTGAGGAAGAGATTGCTATAGCTGTGACTGCTTGGGAAAAGGGCCTGGAAAGCTTGCCCCCCTTTCGGCCCCAGCAGAATCCAGTGTGAGTAGGCACCAAGGAGTGGGGCTTGGTTTTATAAGTAGATATTGTTGATAAAAGAGAACAAAGTAGACAGGCCTTGTTTGCTCATCAAACTACTAAGTTCTGTGAAGTAGAAGAACAGGATCCTATGAGGAAAAATATCAAAGGAGACTAATTTAGAGACCTTTTGACACATTGTATTTCACCATTGCAAGGACCTAGGTAGCAGTTATACAGTAGCCTCCTTGTCTGAGAATCTGCTTTCCATAGTTTTACTTGCCTGCAGTTTAAAAATACTAAATGGAAAATATCAGAAATAAACAATACAAAAATTTTTATTTTTATTTTTTGTAGATGGATATAATACCTTTGTTTTATTTATTTTTATGTGGTGCTGAGGATTGAACCCAGTGCCTCACATGTGTTAGGCAAGCCCTCTACCACTGAGCTACAACCCCAGATCCTCAAACGTTTCAAATAACGTGTATTACAGCATATTTTTATAATTGTTCTATTTTACTAGTTATTGCTATTAATCTGTTGTACCTAGTTTATAATTTAAACTTATATAGATATGTATGTGTTGGAAAAAACAGGATACAAAGGTTTTGGTATGCATTTTCAGGCATCCACTTGGGGTCTTGGAAAGTGTCCCCAGCAGATAAGAGGACTACTGTGTTATAGAATGTAACCCCCTGGAGGGCAGAACCCAGGGTATACTCACCTATATATCTATCACCATACTCAGTACTCTCATAATGATAAAGAAGTGAAGGGATAACGTCAAAGGAGTGCTACATGATAGTTGTCAGTGAAAGAAGATTTTCTAAAAGCTGATTTCTAAGTTGGATTTCAGAAACAATTATGATATTAAGGTATGGGGAGAAAGGCCAATGCAGGAGAAATTAGTGATGCCTGTGTTGAGGAAATTAGCTGAAAAATGTTCTGTGGAGCAGATGAACCATCTGACTGGGACATAGAGCAGCAGCTGGAAAGAAGGGATGGGGTTAATGTGGGGTATTGGGGAGCCAGTGATTGTAGATTGAGAATGGTTGGAAAGATGACATAAGCCCTGATGCAGTGTCAGTGCTAAGGAGAAGGGAGAGGTACAGGATGTATGCAGTTGAGCTTTTAACAGTGAAGAACTATGAATAAGGAATACTGAGTTGAGTGACTTTAGTCAGCAGATTGAATGGCATTAACTAGGAACGATCCTGGGAAAGTATGGAGAAGATCACAGTGGCTATGAGCAATAGATGGTGCCTGCTAGTTTGAGTTAGGTCTTGAGGAAATGATAGACATGGATTAAATAAGAGTCAAGAGGTACAAAAGGACTTGGTAAGAATGTGCATGGAGGGGCTGGGGATGTGGCTCAAGCGGTAGCGCGCTCGCCTGGCATGCGTGCGGCCCGGGTTCGATCCTCAGCACCACATACAAACAAAGATGTTGTGTCCACCGAGAACTAAAAAATAAATAAATATTAAAAAAAAAAAAAAAAAACACGGTAAAAAAAAAAAAAAAAAAAAAGAATGTGCATGGAGTGATGAGCTGTAGGATTTTAGATAATTAATGATACTGTTAACATAGCATGTGGGAGAAGGAGTTCGTACTAGGAAACTTCTTGGGAATAGCAAGAGTGAAGATGGTTGGACAGAGCCTAGGGAGAGTTTTGTGGATACTTGGGAACTTCAAGTCTGAGATGAGCTAATGTCAGCAGTTAAAGGGACAGAAATTAGTGCTGGAATGAGGCACGTGAAATGCACAGAGCAGTATATGAGGTTTGCTCACTGTGGACAGGGCCCTTACCTGCAACTGTAGAGGATCTTATGGTCCTGTGGGTTCATGTGAGGAAAGACTTTATTTATTTATTTTTTTAAAGAGAGAGAGAGAGAGAGAATTTTAATATTTATTTTATTAGTTATCGGCGGACACAGCATCATTGTTTGTATGTGGTGCTGAGGATCGAACCCAGGCCACACACATGCCAGGCGAGTGGGCTACCGCTTGAGCCACATCCCCAGCCTAGAGGAAAGACTTTAGATGTACAGAAACTCATGACAGTTGAACAAAGTTGTGTCTAGTTGTACTGTGTATTTTTCAGTCTTTCTTGACCTTGGCATCTCCCTGGTTGTCTTCTCTTCCTCTTTCTTTACCAGGTTGCCTGTGGCTGGGGAGAGGAATGTGCTTATCACCAGTGCACTCCCTTATGTCAACAATGTCCCTCATCTTGGAAACATCATTGGTTGTGTGCTCAGTGCTGATGTCTTTGCCAGGTGAAGTCAGCTTCTGGAGAAGCTCCTCCTGATGGAGGGCTGGACCCCAAGGGAATAGGACACCTCAAGGTTGGGAACTGGAAGGATCCTGGGAGCAAGGGCTAACCTGGGCCCCCATGACTACATATTCCCTTCCAGGTACTCTCGCCTCCGTCAGTGGAACACTCTCTATCTGTGTGGGACAGATGAATATGGGACAGCAACGGAGACAAAAGCTATGGAAGAGGGCCTAACTCCCCAGGAAATCTGTGACAAGTACCATACCATCCATGCTGACATCTACCGCTGGTTTAATATCTCATTTGATATTTTTGGTCGTACCACCACTCCACAGCAGACCAAGTAGGTTTTCTCTCATGAGATTGAAATGGAGATTGAAGGCTGGGGTCTGAGGCAATGAGAATATCATGGAGACCGAATGAACCAGAGTGATTGTCTAGGATTTCCTCTTGAACCCAGGATCTGAATGTTCCCCAAAATGTGTCCTGGGCAGTTATCAGATCTTCCTGAGGGCATATATTATTTGACCTGGAGCTGAAGGAGCACCTGAGGGAGGGAAGAGTTGGAACTTAACCTGCCTTCTCTTCTTTGCCTCCTTCCTCTCTTACTGCCTTAGAGTCTTTAAGATATTAACTCCCACACCTGTGTGCATTAATAGACAATACACTTGCAATGATATTTGCTAGCTGATGGTACTTTGCAATTCAGCACTGGGACTGACTGAAGAGCAGAGACAGTCTTGAAGAGAAAGCAAATAAATTTGGATTCAACAAAAATGAATTCTTAAGTGCTGAGGGAAGAGATTGTGGGCAGATGAGGAATAGGTATGAGGGGTGTGGACCATTTCATTATTTCATTAAGAATTTAATGAGGAATGGATGGCCTTTGCCTTGAGTAGCTTTCTAATTTCTTTGGTGCTTGGATTGAATGAATTTGGATCCCTGGTTTGAGTGGCAGGAGGGAGGTGTGCATATTTTCTCAACTTCCTATGTCTTGTTTACTTTGCCAGAATCACCCAGGACATCTTCCATCGGTTGATGGCACGAGGTTTTGTGCTGCAAGATAGTGTGGAACAACTTCGATGTGAGCGTTGTGCCCGTTTCCTGGCTGACCGCTTTGTGGAGGGAGTATGTCCCTTTTGTGGCTATGAAGAGGCTAGAGGTGATCAGTGTGACAAGTGTGGCAAGCTCATCAATGCCATTGAACTCAAGGTAAGAGGAAGGTCTCATGGGAAACAGGGAATAAATTTTCCCCCCTTTGGTACTGGGGATTAAACCCATGAGTGCTCTACCACTGAGCTATATTTCTAGAACTTTTTAATTATTTTTCATATTGAGACAGGGTCTCGCTAAATTGCCCTGCTAAGTTACTGAGGCTGGCCTTAGACTTGTGATCATCCTGCCTTATTCTCCTGAGTTACTGGGATTACAGGTGTGCACCAACAATATTCTTAAAGGGATTCCCAGTCTTGTCCCATTCAGGATCTTTTTGCGTGTGTGTTACTGGGAATTGAACCCAGGGGCTCATGCATGCTAGTCAAGTGCTGTACCACTGAGCTATGTCCCCAGCCCCAGGATTTTTATTTTAGCATACAAAACCTTTTGATGGTTTACCCATTTCCTCAACTCATCATTTAGTTCACTTGAAAATATTTATTGAGTATTTACTATGTTTTTAACATTGTTCTAGGAAATACATGTGGCATTTATACTTCCAATCTTTGCTCCGATTGGGCCACCTGATCTACATTGGTTTAGATTATTCTTTCTTCTATAAATGCCTCTGATTTCTAGTCCATGTTTAGTTGTTTGTTAATTTATTTAGTTGTTTCTTTATTCATTTATTTGGCAAGCTTTTCTTTTTTAAAAATTATAATACTGGGGATTGAACTTGGGACCTTGCACATGCTAGGTAAGCACTTAAGCATTGAGCTATCTTTTTTTTTTTTAATATATCTTTATTTTATTTATTAATTTATGTGGTGCTGAGAATTGAACCCAGGGCCTTGCATGTGCTAGATGAGAGTGCTCTACCGCTGAGCCACAACCCTAGCCCTTGTTTTTTTTAAGACAGGGTCTCATGAAGTTTCGCAGGCTGGCCTTGAATTGTAATCCTCCTCCTTCAGCTCATGAGAAGGGATTATAGGCATGCATCTGGCTATTTGACATTTTTTAATCTGTACAGGCTAGTTATAGTTCAGGGACTAGGGACAAGGAAGTGAATAAGACAGACTTTTATCCAGTGTGGGAAGGATACCAACACTAAACAAGGAAATAATATAGGATAGGATAAAGTGCCAGGAAGATGTGCTAGGAGGTGGGCTTTAGATGATGAAGGAATGCCTCTGAGAGTGAGTAACATTTGAAATGAGAGTTTAACTGAAGAATGAAAAGGAGCAAGCCAGGTGATAAGTGGTATTAAGAGAGTTGCAAGTTGAAGAAAACGTGAAGTGTTGCAATTACCAGGAATTGTAAAGGCTTTTTGTTGCTGCGATTAAATACCTGAGATAAATAATGTGAAAAGAAGAAAGGTTTATTTTGGCTCACAATTTCAGATTCAGTGTATGGTCACTTGGCTCCATTGTTTCTGGGCCTGTGGTGAGGCAGAACATCACATTGTGGAGCAAAGCTGCAAGGCAGCCAGAAAGTAGAGAGTGAGTAGGCCCCGGGACAAAATATAACTCCCCATGACCTATGTAGGCCTTACTTTTTCAAGTCTATATGTCTTCCCAATAGTCTAGCATTCATCAGTGAAGATTAGTCTTTTGACGAGACTAAATCTTTCATGATTTAATCACTTCCTAAAGGTCCTACCTCTGAACATTGTCGCATTTGGGACCAGAACCTTTAACACATGAGCTTTTGAGGGACCTTTCAGATCCAAACCATAAAAAGCCCAGAGGTAACAAAGAGCTTAAAAGGCAAAATTTAAAAGGCCAGTGTACAGTGGGAGGGTAGATTAAGATAAGGTCAGCGAAAAAGGCTGGGACCAGTTTACCAGGGCCTCCTAAGCCATTACAGGAGTTTTAGATTTTATTCTAGTGGAATGGCAAGCTGCTTTGTGGAAAATGAATGGAAAAGAAAATTGGAGAAGGGTTTGGAGTCTAGAGTCCAGAATTGGGGAAAATTAAAAAATAGATTTGGGATATATTTTGGAGGTAGACTGTAGTGTTGGTTAGACTGGAATTTGGAGTAAAGAAAAAGATGATTTATAAATTTTTGGCAGGAACTAGGAAAATAAGTTGGTTTTAAAATGCTGGCCTACCATGGGTGAGGTCCTGGGTTTAATCCCCAGCATCACCATTTGAAAAAAAAAAAAAAAGGAAAGAAAGAAAAATTGGCTTGAGCAGTTTGGATAGATGGTAATACCATTTCTGACAATGGGCAAGAGTAGGAGAAAAGGCCTTCATGCCAAATGCAGTGATACTGTTGGGGTTTGCTAAGCTTGAGATATCTGTGGTCATCCATGTAGACAGTTGGATCTGAGCCTGTGGAATTCAGGAGAGAGGTCTGAGAGGGTTACAATTTCTCACCTTCAAAAACCCAGGTGAAGGGCTGGAGTTGTAGCTCAGTGGTAGAGTGCTTGCCTCATATGTGTGAGGCACTGACTTTGATTCCTAGCACCACATATAAATAAGCAAATGAAATAAAGGTCTATTGACAACTAAAAAAAAAATATTAAAAAAAAAGCAGGTGAGCTGATTCCAGTGATGCACACCTGTAATCCCAGTGACTCAGGAGGTGGAGGCAGGAGGATTGCAAGTTCAAAGCCAGTCTCAGCAACATTGTGAGGCCCTAAGCAACTTAGTGAGACCCTGTCTCAAAAAAAAAAAGTGATAGCCAGCATAGTAGCGCATGACTATAATCCCAGTAGCTTGGGAGGCTGAGGCAGGAGGATCACAAGATCAAAGCCAGCCTCAACAAAGGTGAGGTGCTAAGCAACTCGGTGAGAACATGTCTCTAAATAAAATACAAAATAGGTGAAAACTCTCCTGGAAAGTTTTATTGATTAATTCCATCTAACAGTTTAATACTTTAGCTGTCACTCTTCAGTGTTGTTATATATTCTATTTCTACCACACAATTAAGTATTTTTTGACATTTGCTTTGTAAAGATCTGTGCTTGTTTGTTATGCAAGCCATCTCTCCCTGACTTGACTATAACCTCAAGGAGAGGAGCTACAGGTCTTCTTTTGTTGCTCCTTCATCCTCTCACACAGTGCAGTGCTCTGTACTTAGACTGTGCTTAGAGAATGCTTTTTTCCTACTCTGCATTGATTTAATAGAAATGTGAAACTCTGAAGAACAAATGTTATGCTGTGCAAATTTGAGTTTCCCAAGTTCAAGAAGCCCAAGTAGTCGAGTGGGCTGGTCTGAGGATGAAGTTCATCTAGAGGGCACCTGAGGCACTCTTCCTTCTGTGTTCCTTCTCTTATTTGTAGTCCTGATCCTGTCTGTCTCACTCTGGGTCACCCCTTCTCTGGAATTTCCCTTCACAGAAACCTCAATGTAAGGTTTGCCGGTCATGCCCTGTGGTAAAGTCCTCCCAGCACCTGTTCTTGGACCTGCCTAAGGTAAGTGAGCCTTTACTCAACCTAGTGTTCAGGAGGCCTCTTCTGTCCCTCTACCTTAACCACAAATATGGATATTTAACCACTCCAAGGTTTATTTCCATTAAAAATTACATGTGCTGTTGTGAAGAGATTAAACAGATTAAAGGGCCACAAAGCAGAAGTCCTAGGTCCATCAGTCCTAAGCTCACTTGCCAGAAATATTTACTACTGTGCATCTTTTGTGTCTAATCAGAAATGTCCTATGTATATAAAAGTATGTTTATTCCTCTCTTTTTTGGTACCAGAGATTGAATCCAGGGGCGCCTAACCACTGAGCCACACCCCCCCAGCCCTTTTTATTTTTTATGTTGAGACCGGTTTGCCTCAGCCTCCTAGTCGCTGGGATTATAGGCATACACCGCTACCCCTGGCTTGCTTTGCTTTTGCTTTTTAAATATATATATATATATGTATATATATATAAAATTTTGTTTTTAGTTGTAATTGGATACAATACCTTTATTTTATTTATTTTTATCTGGTGCTGAGGATCAAACTCGCACACGCTAGGCGAGCACTCTACCTCTGAGCCCCAGCCCCTTGCTTTTTCGTAATAAAATTTAGTTCATGGCATTTACACTTTCCTGCAACCTGCTTTCTTTTGCTTTGTAGTGTGTCTTTTATGGGTTTTATTTTTGTTTATTTGTTTGTTTTTCCTGTTCTATGAATTGATCCAGGGGTGATCTATCACTGAGGTACATCGCATTTTGTTTTTTTATTTTGAGATAGGGTCTTCCTAAGTTGCCCAGGCTGGCCTTGAACTTTCGATTTTCTTGTCTCAGTCTTCTGAGTTGCTGGGTTGTTTTATTTATTTATTTTTTTTTTGAGGGCAGGGATACCAGGGATTAAACTCAGGGGCACTCAACCACTGAGCCACATCCCCAGTCCTATTTCATATTTAGAGACAGGGTTCACTGAATTGCTTAGCGCCTCTCTTTTGCTGAGGCTGGCTTTGAACTCGCGATCGTCCTGCCTCAGCCTCCTGAGCTGCTGAGATTATAGGTGTGTGCCACTGGTCCTGCCTTGTAATACGTCTGTACCAGTTTTCTACCTTAGTAAATCTGCCTCCCCCCATAAACTTTTTTTTTTTTTTTTGGTACTGGAGATTGAACCCACAATGCTCTACCAGAGATCTATATCCCCAGCCCTTTTTATTTTACTTTATTCTTTTTTTGAGGCAGAGTCTCACTGAGTTGCTGAGGCTGGCCTGGAACTTGGGATCCTCTTGCTCCAGCCTTCCAAGCTGCTGGGACTCTAGGAGTTACAGACATGTGCTGCTAAGCCCAGTTCCTTATTTAACTTTTTATTTGGAAATAATTTCAAGCTTGCAAAAATAAACTTGATAGAACAAAGAAGTTCATGTGAGGGTTGGGGTTGTGACTCAGTAGTAGAGCACTCATCTAGCATGTGTGAGGCACTGGGTTCAATCCTCAGCACCACATAAAAATAAATAAATAAAGGTTTGTGTCCAACTACAACTAAAAAGAATTAGGAAAAAAAAAAAAGGAAGCTCATGTTGTTTAACCAGAAGAACTTTGCCACCTGTGTGACCTTGCAGCTGGGTGCGGTGGTGCACGCCTGTAACCCCAGAAACTTGGGAGGCTGGGGTAGGAGGATTATGAGTTCAAAGCCACCCTCAGCAATGGTGAGGCACTAAGCAACTCAGTGAGACCCTATCTCTAAATAAAGTACAAAATAAGAAATGGGGTTTGGGATGTGGCTCAGTGGTTGAATGCCCCTAAGTTCAATCCTTGGTATCTTTAAAAAAAAAAAAAAAAAGAACTTTTCTAACCATTACCTCAGGGGCACTTGACAACTGAGCCTCATCCCCAGCCATATTTTTTATTTTATTTAGAGACAGGGTCTCACCAAGTTGCTTAGCACCCTGGCTTTGCTGAGGCTGGCTTTGAACTTTTGATCTTCCTACCTTAGCCTCCCAAGCTGCTGGGACCACAGGAGTGTGCCACTGCTCCTAGCCTGATCCATTTGTTTTTAGCATATTTGCTCTGTTCCTCCCTTTTCCTCCTTTCCCTTCTATTTGTATATGTATATATTCTCTTTATTTTTAAGTACTTCAGTGTGTTTCTAAGAAACCAGACTTTTTTGAATAACCACACTGAAGTTACATCAGGAAATTTAATTTTAATGTATTTGTTGATGCACTATTCAAATTCTATTTTTTTTTCCATTATCCTAATGATAATTTTTTTTTTTTTTTTTTTTTTTTAGTACTGGAGATTGAGCTCAGAGGCTCACATGTAGTGGGCAAGCACTCTAACTGAGCTATACCCCCAATCCTTTTTATTTTTTATTTTGAGAAATATTTCAAAAATTTTTTTTAATTAAAGAAATTTTAAGTTGCCCACACTTGCCTTAAACTTGAGATCCTCCTGCCTCAGCCTTGCAAGGCAGGTGGGATAACAGATGTGTGTCACTATGCCCAGGATAGAAATAAAAAGGATGTAGCTCAGTGGTGAAGTGCTCCCTAGGTTGAATCCCCAGTACCAAAAAAATAAAAAAATTAAGTTTGTGATCCTGCTGCCTCAGCCTCCCAATTAGATGGGTTACAGGTGTGTGCCTCTGTGCCCAGCCAGTTTGTTTTTCCTTTATTTATTTTTTTTGTGGTGCTGGGAATTGAAACAAGGGCATGCACTCTACCAACTGAGCCATATCCCCAGCCGAGTTTATTTTTAATAACTATACAGTATTTCATTCTGTGGTATCATAGGGGTCTTTCCCAGCCATTTTCTGTGTACATTATTTAGCAGATTTCTAGTATTTTGTAATTACATATAATGTTGCAGGGAATAACCTTTTGCATATGCATTTTTGCATTGTTGGAAGTTTAGGATAAATTCTTTAAAAGTAATCGCTTTTGTGTTAAGGGTAAATGCATATGTAGTTGTCAAATTTGCTTCAGTGACTATTGTACCATTTTGCACTTCTGTTGGCAATGTGTGAACATGCCTATTTCTCCATAGCCCCACCAACAGAATGTATTGTCAGGCATCAGAAGTTTGCCTCATTCTCTTAACAGTAGTATGGTATTTATGTGGATGAATTCCATGTAGCATCTCTTCAAGAGGATTTTTTTTTTTTTTTGCTTTCAAAAGTGGTATTAGCTTTTAAATATTTTAGATAGAAATTTATGACATAAAAAGTGGAAGTTGCATACTTAAGAGTAAGCCCAAATGTATATTTTCTTTTTTTTAATTTTTTATTGTTGGTTGTTCAAAACATTACATAGTTCTTGATATATCATATTTCACACTTTGATTCAAATGGGTTATGAACTCCCAAATGTGTATTTTCCTTTTTTTTTTTTTTTCTGGTGAATATTAATTTATTTCTGGTTGCAGTGGCACATGCCTGTAATCCCAGCAGCTTGGAGGCTGAGACAGGAGGATCACAAGTTCAAAGCCAGCCTCAGCAACTTAGCAAGGCTCCTGAACAACTTAGCGAGAACCTGTCTCTAAATAAAATATTTTTTTAAAAAAGGGCTGTGGATGCGGCTAAGTGGTTAAATGTCCCTAGGTTTAATACAAAAAAAAAAAAAAAGTTAACCTATTTATTTTATTATTATATATTTTTTAACCTCGGGTTTTTTTTTTTTTAATGATTTTTATTTATTTATTTTAAAATGATTTTGTAATAGTTCATGTATTTATACAGTATATTTAAATTTAAAACTTGAATCAGGAGTTTCAGTTTTTAAATTTTTTTTTAAAAGATGAGATCTTGCTGTGTTGCACAGGCTGTCTTCAAACTCATAATGCCACCTCAGGCTCCTCCATAATTGGGATTATAGGTATCTGGCTTAGTTTTGGATTTTTTTTTTTTTTTTAATATCTTCATTAGTTGTAGGTAGACATAATATTATTTATTTATTTATTTATTATTTATTAATTATGTGGTGCTGAGGATCGAACCCAGTCCCTCACATGTGCTAGGCAAGTGCTTTACCACTGAGCTATAACCCCAGCCCCTAGTTTCAGATTTTTGCTATCATAAACCGTGTATTTCTTTTCTTCTTCTTCTTTTTTTTTGGTACTGGCAGTTGAGCTTTGGACTTTGTGTGTATGCTGTGCAAGTACTCTAAGTACTGTACCACTGAGCTACGTCCTCGGCCCTTTTTATTTTGAAACAGTGTCTTGTTAAGGTGCTCAGGCTGGCCCTGAACTTGAGATACTCCTGCCTTAGCCTCCAGAGTGACTGGGATTACAGGTGTGCACCACTGTTCCTGGCTATTAGTGCACTTGTCTCTTTTGTAGTTTTGGTATTGGGGATCAAACCCAGGGGCACTTTACAACTGAGCTACATCTCAAGTCCTTTTTATTAAAAAAGAAGAAGAAGAAGAAGTCTTTTTATAAAAATATAAATTGAGACAGGGTCTCACTAAGATGCTGAAGGTCTCACCAGATTGCTGAGGCTGGCCTCAAACTTGAGATTCTCCTGCCTCAGCCTCCTTAGTTGCTGGGATTACAGGTATGTATGTGTCACTGTACCAGCAATGGTGTGTTTCTTTTCTTTTTTCTTTTTAAAAATTCTATTTATTTATTTATTTGATAGTTGTAGATGGACAGCATGCCTTATTTTATTTGTGTGTTTTTTTATGTGGTGCTGATGATTGAATCCAGTGCCTCTCATGTGCAAGACAAGCACTCTGCCACTAAGCTACAACCCCAGCCCAATGGTGCATTTCTTTTCTTTTTTTTTTTAAAGAGAGAGAGTGAGAGAGTTTTTAATATTTATTTTTTTAGTTTTCGGCAGACAAAACATCTTTGTTTGTATGTGGTGCTGAGGACCGAACCCGGGCCGCACGCATGCCAGGCGAGCGCGCTACCTCTTGAGCCACATCCCCAGCCCAATGGTGCATTTCTTTACACATTTCTACACTCCTCACACATGCTAGGCAAGTTCTCTATCCCTGAGCTACATCTCTAGTGTGTGTGTGTGTGTGTGTGTATGCTTCCAGAGATTGAATCTAAGGGCACTTAACCACTGAGCCACATCTCCAGCCATTTTTATTTTTTATTTTGAGACAGAGTCTCTAAATTGTTTAGGGCCTTGCTAAGTTGCTGAAGCTGGCTTTGAACTTGTGATCCTCCTGCCTTATCCTCCTGCCTCAGCCTCCTGAGTTTCTGGGATTATAGGTGTGTGCTCCCTACTGTGCCTGACATACATGTCTTCACTTTTAAGGGAATATCTCTGCTAATAAATTCATAGAGATGTAATTACTATTTCAGAATCATGAATCTTTTAAATTTTTATCATAAGGCCAAATGTATTCAAAATGTTGTTCATATTTATCCTTATGAGATATGAGGATAATCATAGCTAACCACATATGAGACTCCTAATTCTGCCCTCTGTCTTCCATCTCAGTTGGAAAAGAGATTAGAGGAATGGTTGGGGAAGACATTGCCTGGCAGTGATTGGACACCCAATGCCCGGTTTATCATTCGTTCTTGGCTTCGGGATGGCCTCAAGCCACGCTGCATAACCCGAGACCTCAAATGGGGAACTCCTGTACCCTTAAAAGGTTTTGAGGACAAGGTAAAAACTCTTTTTTTAACGTCTCAAATTATAGTCTCAGGATTAAGACCATGGGTTAGCAGAATAGAATATTGATTATATCTGAAATTTTGGGTTGGTTCCTATCTTTTCCCTTCTCTTGAACCTCTAGGTATTCTATGTCTGGTTTGATGCTACTATTGGCTACTTGTCCATCACAGCCAACTACACAGACCAGTGGGAACAATGGTGGAAGAACCCAGAGCAAGTGAGCAGTTCTTGGTTAGCCTGTTTATGGAGAGGGCATGTATGACAGGGTATCTGGTCTTTTTTGGACTTTTGAAGAAAGTCTCAGATCTCTCTCAACTATATTCCCTAGGTGGACCTTTACCAGTTCATGGCCAAAGACAATGTTCCTTTTCATGGCTTAGTCTTTCCTTGTTCAGCCCTAGGAGCTGAGGATAACTACACCTTGGTCAAGCACCTCATTGCTACAGGTAGGTACCCTAGAAGAAAGCGGATGGGCTGTTGGGATGAGAACTAAGGCAGTATTTGGAAGAAGATCCTGTGAAATGCTAGGTCTTGAGTTAGTATTGATATGGATTAGGAAATAATTAAAACTTGAGAACTTCATCCAGAAAAAGGAATCAAGATTCTGAAGAAAGCAAAAGACCAAAGCAAAAATTTTGTATTACATATGAGCAAAGAGAAAAAAGGTTAGAATGGATAGGAAAGGATCCCAAGCTACTCAAGGTGAGGTATTTTTGGACATCCACCATTAATGTTGAAGGAAAGGGAAGAATTACTGGGTCAGAGAGGGGAGTGATATTTGAGCAGATGGTTCTCATTCTTCTCTGTCTAGAGTACCTGAACTATGAGGATGGGAAATTCTCTAAGAGCCGTGGTGTGGGAGTGTTTGGAGATATGGCCCAGGACACAGGGATCCCTGCTGACATCTGGCGCTTCTATCTGTTATACATTCGTCCTGAGGGCCAGGACAGTGCCTTCTCCTGGACAGACATGCTGCTCAAGAATAATTCTGAGCTTCTTAACAATCTGGGCAACTTCATCAACAGGTGGGAGTTGGTAAGGGGTTAGAGTCAGCAGCAGAGCTGAAATGTCCCAATTCTCCCTCCAGAGATAAGAATATAGAGAGAATATGTAGAGACATTGTGGAAAGTTGATTTCTTTAAGTTGGACTCTGCTCCCAGCACATAGTAGGTAAAGTATACTTTGGAAAGAGAGATAAGATTTAGCAAAGTTGTCACAGAGGGATTTTAACATAATTGTTTTCTAACTGATGTTCATTGAAGAAATGATATATTTTATCCTCACAAAAAAAAAAGGTTCACTTGCAGGCCACTGAAAAGTTTGGCTGAAGAAAGGGGTTATTTCAGTGTAGTGATAGGAGGCTTCTGCTCTACTCTTCAGAGTTGTTACATTAGGGTCACATTTCTATTCTTTGTCCCTATCACAGTGATTCTGCAGTCTGAAGAAATCTCCATGACTTAGAGTTTTTCTGTTCCTCTCTTTGAGCCCTAGGCCGTTAGCTCAGTTACTGTTTACCCTTTCAGGTTTTTTTCATTAACCATCTTGAACAGATAGTCTTCTTTAGAGTGTTTGATAGCAATTAACACATAATAAATTTAAACTTGAGGGTTGGGGTTGTGGCTCAGTGGTAGTATGCTTGCCTCACATGTATGAGGCCCTGGGTTTGATCTTCAGCACCACATAAAAATAAATAAAATAAAGGTATTTTGTTCATCTACAATTAAAAATATTTTTAAAAAATTTTTAATTTGATCTTTTATTGTTGTTTGTTTTTTGTACTGGGAGTTGAACTCAGGGGCACTCAACTACTAAGTCACATTCCCTGCCTTTTTTTTGGATTTTATTTAGAGACAGGGTCTCACTGAGTTGCTTAGGGCCTCACTAAGTTGATGAGGCTGGCTTTGAACAAGTGATCCTCCTGCCTGAGCCTCCTGAACCACTGGGATTATAGGCATGCACTACTGTGCTTGGCTTAACTTGGTCATTCTTAAAAATTTACTTAAAAGCAAAATGTATAGTTGCTTAACTTGATTAGGTTTCTTCATTTGAAGAGTCACATTTTTAGGGGCGAGAGAATAAAGGCTTAATTTGTTAAGCTTTGCCTTTTAGTTTGAGGGCCCAGGAAGCATGTTAATGTGGACAGGAATCCTGAGAGAATGAAAAGTTGTGGAAAGTGTCAAATATTTATAAGGAGACTGGCCAAATTTTTTTTCTCCTCCTCTTCTCTATCTCTATTAAGAGCTGGGATGTTTGTGTCTAAGTTTTTTGGGGGCTGTGTGCCTGAGATGGTGCTTACCCCTGATGATCAGCGCCTGCTGGCCCATATTACCCTGGAGCTCCGACATTATCACCAACTGCTGGAGAAGGTTCGGTAAGTAACTTACACAGCTCTGCCTCTTAGGGTTTGCTGGCATGTCAAGAGACTCATATACCTTGGCCTGCTTCCTTTCTTCCCAGGATCCGGGATGCCTTACGCAGTATTCTTACCATATCTCGACATGGTAACCAGTACATTCAAGTGAATGAGCCCTGGAAGTGGATTAAAGGCAGTGAGGCTGACAGGTATGTTAAAGGGGTAGGGGTGTCTATAGAAATTAGATGGCTGATAGGCTATGTCCTCCTGGAGGTCTTGATTAAATCTCTCTTCTCCCTAAGGCAGCGGGCAGGCACAGTGACAGGCTTGGCAGTGAATATAGCTGCCTTGCTGTCCACCATGCTCCAGCCTTTCATGCCCATGGTTAGCACCACCATCCAGGCACAGCTGCAACTCCCGCTTCCAGCCTGCAGTGTCCTTCCCACGAACTTCCTGTGTACTTTACCAGCAGGGCACCAGATTGGCACGGTAGGTCTCCCAAGAGTTGGAGGGCCAATCTCTCAAAATTCATGCTTTTGCCATGTGACTGTTGGGATGATGTTAGAATAGACCTAACATTCTCTTGTTCTTTGCTTTTGGGGCAAGAGCTCTTATAGGTCTTCTGAACCCCTCCTCATTCTGCAGTTGGGTGTGCTTGTGATACAAGGTCCTTGGTACTGGTTCACAAGTTCAGTGTTATTTTTTTTTTTGGTTTTCATGCTAAAACCGTACCTGGCACATAAAAACTAACTGGTATACAGCCATTTGAAGAAATACCATGATATTATTGTTTCCATAATACTAGTAGGCAGTGAGGCAGAGAGAATACAGGAGTATCCTATTACTCTTTGACACAGGATTACTACAGAGTACATCTAAAACTTCTGGATTGACCTAGCATCATTAAATAGTTGAAATACTTTCTGATCCCATCAATACTTTGGGCTTTCTGAGGAATGCTTTTTCTGAATTCTTTTCTTAACCAGTAGGTATTTGCTTAGTGTTATGTTCCTTCTAAGACTTTTTTTTGGGAGGGCCAGTACTAGGAATAACCAGGCCTCATTCACTCTTCCATGCTGGGCAGATGATCTCCTGCTGAACTGCATCCTCAGCTCTTTATTGTTTGAGTTGGCCTTGAACTTTCAGTTCTCCTGCCTCTGCATTATCAGGTAGAATAAGCAAATGCCATTATAAAATATATCTTTCATCTTAAAAGAGTCACTTTGCAGTCTGATCTAAACCTCAGACAGTAGTCTTCCATCATGCAAAGAAACCACAAACAGGCTGGCTCCGTGGCACATGCCTGTGATCCCAGTGGCTTGGGAGGCTGAGGCAGAAGGATCTTGAGTTCAAAGCCAGCCTCAGCAACTTAGTGAGGCCCTAAGCAACTAAGTGAGATCTTGTCTCTTTAAAATACACACTAAAAAAGGGCTGGGTATGTGGCTCAGTGGTTAAGTACCCCTGGGTTCAAGCCCCAAAACCAAAATCTATTTTTTTTTTTTGGTAGTTATAGATGTACACAATGCCTTTATTTTATTTTTATGTGGGTGTTGAGGATCAAACCCAGTGCCTCATACATAGTAGGCAAAACTCTGCCGCTAAGCTACAGCGCCAGCCCCAAATACTCCATCTTAAGAAAACAAATTGCTATTCTGGGATTAATACCCTGAAAACACCTAGTTCCTTATGAAAGTGACACAAGGACCCTTCCCCACAATCTCCTAACTGCAAAAATCCCTCTCCTCCCATTATCTACTTGGGCTATAAGTGGAAGAGGGTTTCAGTGTCCACTGGGCCCCCCCCACAGGTTTGTCCAGAATCAGTCTGTTACTATTAACTCTCCATTTCCTTCTTTCCTTTACATATATTTCCTGCGATTACAGGTGTGTGCCATGGTACCTGGGAGCATTAAGGATTTTTAAATGTCAAGAGTAGGGTCGGAGAAGCCCATTATATAGTTTGGTAGAGTTTATATGTAAGCAGTGAATGATTCTGAAATTCTCTTTCACAGGTCACTCCTTTGTTCCAAAAACTGGAAAATGACCAGATTGAAAGTTTGAGGCAGCGCTTTGGAGGGGGCCAGGTGAGAAAGCTAGACTGTGCCCTCACCTAACAGCCACAGCAGCACCTTAATTCTCCCAAGTAGTATTCCCTCATCACACTTTCCGTCTTTTGGCCCTGCTACTTCCTTTTAATTTTTCTTTCCTATCTTAGCTAGAAGAGTCCTTGAGTTAAAAATAATCACTTTTTTAGAGATCAGGAGATGTTTATGGCAGCCAGTGATAACCCAGTTTTTCTTCTCTAGGCAAAAGTATTCCCCAAGCCAGCAGTCGCAGAGACTGTTACAACAGTGGGGCCACAGCAGATACAAATACTTATGGATGAAGTGACAAAACAGGTATGAAGCTGAAGCCCATTGGGAGACTGGAAAAAGCTGAATCCTAAACAGACTGTTACCTGGTCTCACTGTTACTCTCTCCACTCATCCTTCTCTTAGGGCAACATTGTCCGAGAACTGAAAGCACAAAAGGCAGACAAGAACCAGGTTGCTGCGGAGGTGGCTAAACTCTTGGATCTAAAGAAACAGTTGGCTCTAGCTGAGGGGAAACCTCTTGAAACTCCTAAAGGCAAGAAGAAAAAGTGAGAGAGCTCATAGAAAGTCTTTAATGGATATGGACAGTTAATAAATAAATGTATTATCTCTATATACAAGCTGAGACCCTTTGCTTTTGTCTCCCCCAATCCTTCCCCCAACTGGACATGTGTTGAAGGTCACATCATTGACACTGATGTGAAAGTGGTCAGTAGCCACTTCAGGGTAAGGTAGGTAGTGGCCCCAGTTGGGGAGTGATGGTTCCAATTGTTCAGGCTTGGTGTAGATTAACCATTCGGTCAATTAGAGCACGGCGTGTGGCTTCTACTTCCTGAGTCAGGCGCTCTATTTCCTGCTTGAGCCGTTCATTTTCTTCAGTTAGCTGTGCCACTTTCCTTTCATTCTCTTGTTCTTTTTCCTTCATGCGTTGCTTTCCAGCCCGGGCTGGCCACTGGCCACTCTGTTTCCGTTTCCTAGTTTTTCCTTGGTCTTCCTCCTCTTCTTCCTGAGCCAGGGAGCTCTGACTGGAGTCTGGAGAGCGAGGACTCTGGGAGATGCTTGTGACTTCTGCTGGTCCTGGCTCCCCAGCCAGCCAAGCCAGAGACGCAGGGTTAAGAGTGGTGAAGGTTTTTGATTCTTCCTTCAAAGAAATGAGGAAAGGAAGGGCAGATGTTAGTAGAGAAAGGAAAGATAATATCCCCTCACTTTAGAATTAGCATTCTCACCTCTTCGTTTCTAGGGGGTGAGATATAAGTACCCCCGTTTTCATCTGAAGACAGAACCTCCTGCAGATCCTCATACCAGGCTTCCAGCTCCCAGCTGGACACCGTCCCGAAGGAGAAAGGCAATGACTCAGCTGCCATCTCTGCAGTTGGATCAGGTTCTGGAAAAGTACATACTCAGTATAAAAGTTCCACTTGGCAAACAAAGTCTATACCACAGGTTGGCAAAATGATCTGTAGGTGAAAGTTTTATTGGAACATATTTATTTATTTACATACTGTTTATGACTGCTTTAATGTTACAATAGCAGAGGTTAATAGTGATAACAGATGCTACCCAAACACATATTCTTATGAGATCCTAATGAAAGTTCTCAGCCCACATGGGAACTCTACAGGTACTTTTAAGGGGCAATTACCAGGCTATTTGTGCTCCTTTCTGTGTGGGGATTTTGGGTAAAAGGTCCTTTGAGTCCATCTAACTTCAAGGAAGACTGAAGATGAGCAAGGCAAACCAATTGTCTTCGCTAGGGCTGACTTTGAGAGCAGCTTTCAATTAGGAAATGCTCTAAAAATAGTGATTTGGTCACCATGTTGTTAAGGGGCAGGCTAGAGGGATAGACATGGCCTGACAACAAAAGCTTGTTGAGATTCAAACCCTGCTCTCCTTCTTTAGGCTGGGTCTTCTAGTAACTTCTTAGGATCCCAGCAAAGGGAGCCTAAGCAGCTTTTCCTTAGGAGTTGGTTTTGGAAAGGAGTTGTGAAGTTTACCTTCTTTCAGGTGTGGTGATGTATGAAGATACACTTCCTTCTGGAACACTGTGGAACAAAGAGAAATGTCAGCCATTTTTGAAAGGAGAGGCAGATTCTTTACTTCTAACCTCTTACTGGTCTTGTGGAATATGGATAGTTAAAAGGTCCTATAGCTATTTCCAAGGACAGAAGAGAGCTCTGCTTCCTTTATTTTTAGTTGTGACATGTGACATTTGTAGTCCTGATTACATAAGAGCAAAGTCCTGGCCAACTCAGTTTCTCTAAATTTAAGGCAGCCCTCAAACATGTCCAGTAAGGGCTAAGAGAACAATTCTAGTGGCATTTTCCTAATTCTATTTCTGCACTTATATGGTCCAAATGTACATTTCTATTTCTGGTCTAGGACCTTCAACTCTGCTATGTACTGCCTACTTACCATCTCCTTTTGGATGTGTAACAGGCATTTATATTAAGTCCAAAGACAATCTCCTGCTGACCTTTCCCTTCCAGGGTCATCTCCATTTCAAGATGGTTAAGGCAAATATCTTGGTGTCATCCCCTCTCCCCTCACACTTGACAATCCAATCCACAGCACTAGCAAATTCTCTAATTTTTTTTCTTTTGTATTGGGGATTGAGCCCAGAGAGGCTCTACCACCTAACTATATCCCTAGCCTTGCCTTTTTAAATTTTGAGACAGGGTCTCACTTAAGTTGGCAAGGCTGGCCTCCCAACTCAGCAATCCTCATTCTTTAAAAATACGCAGACCCTTGTTTTCAAATGAAGATCAATTAACTATCATCTCTCCTCATTACCTTGGAAACTTCCTTGCAGGATGTCTCCCCATTCTGCTCTTGCCACCACTCCCTAAGTCTATTCACAACATAGCACCTCAAGTGAGCCTTTTTTTTAACCTTTATTTATTTTTTTAATATGGTGCTGAGGATCAAACCCAGGGCCTTGCCTGTGCTAGGCGAGCGCCCTACCGCTGAGCCACAACCCCAGTCCTCAAGTGAGCCTTTTGTGATGATGATGATAGTGCATTTTACTACTAAGCTACATCCCTAGCCCTTTAAAAACTTAAGTAATGTCTTTGCTTTGAATCTTCCAATGACTTCCAATTTCATGCATATTAAAAACATCCTCAAAATGGCTTGCAAGGCCCTACAGAATTTGCTTCTTGTCTACAAATTGTTGAGTTTTCATAGGCCACTCTCATCCTTGCTCACTCCAGCCCACCTGGCCTGTTCCTAAAGATACTGCCATACTGCCATTTTAGGGTCTATGCTCTAGCTGTTCCAACTGGAATGCTCTTCCTTCCATAGTATCTGCATGGCTCACTGGCTTGCCTCTTTCAGGTCTTTATTTTTTGATATTGTGGATTAAAACCCAGGGGTGCATTACTACTGGGCTATATCCCCAGCCCTGTTATTACTTTGAGCTGGGGTCTATTTAATGGCTGAGGCTAGCCTCCAGCTTGCTATTCTCCTGGCCAGCCTCCAGAGTCATTGGGATTACAGGTGTGCACCACTTGCCTGGTTTAGGGCCTTTCATTTAAATGTTATCTCAGTGAGGCAATCCCTGGCCAACTGATAAAAAACTAACCTCCACCCTGAACATTGTTTTTTTCCTGCTTAGTTTTCTCCATGTCAATTATGGCTTCCACTGCAGAATATTTTTTTCTTATTTAGAAATACACTTTGAGCCCCAAACTGCTTGACACATAGTAGGTGCTCATTAAGTATATAAATGAATGTAAATCTCCCGTCCCAATCTCACTTATAGGGAAGACTAAACCCAGAGCTGCCTGTCCCTCGAGACTGGAGATGCAATATTGCTCCGATTATTTCTCTACATTGCTGTCCTCTCAGGGGAACAATTCCTTGCCTTCTAGTGTGGGGACTTGGCTTTCATCAGCAGTGGAGCACCAGGCCAGAGAACTGCAAAGCCAAACAGTAGGGCTGGCCTGATGCAATGGTTACACAGAGATTAGTTGAGAGACAGTACGGTGGGGGGCGGGGGGGAGAGGAAGGGATCAATCCCAGGAGAAGGGGAATACCCTAGGGAAAACCCAAAGGGCTTCCCACTTTTAGAAAGATCCAAGCTGATCTCTTGTGCGGGAGGCCAAGAGACCTCTGGGGAAAATGGAAAACCCATCTCTCCCTGTCCATCAGCACCCCTCCTCTCCAAAAGTTGTGTGCAGAGTCCAGGATCCCCAGCTACCTCAGTGGACATGCTGACCCCTGGAGGTGCTGTAGTTGAGACTGGGCTGAGGGTGGGGGGGCGGCGACAAGGAGAATGCCCGCAATGGCGAAAGGGCGGATACAGAACTGAGCTACAGGTCACCCAATCTCAGAGCAGGGGTGTGTCCTGCTGCCCCGCCTCTCACCGGACAGGCCTACAGAGGTTGCCTGGAATCGGCTACAAGACAGAATGAATTTCCCGAGGGCAGCGGGGATCCTTCAGCACAGAAACGGAACCACACTCCGGAAAAGGATTGGGGTGACGTTATCGCTCAAAGTTAGGAGGGGCCTGCCTGTAAACACAACTCCTGAATAAAGAATTCTCCCCAACCCTCGAATGGTTCCTAAGATCGCTGCGGTAGGGCATGGACCCGTATCGTAAAGAGCAGATGCCCAACTTTTGAGGGAACAACCGATGTTCGCGAGGAAGAAAAGGTAAAGGGTGGATAGGGAGTCAATACTCACCTTTCTCCTTAGGTTCCGGAACTGATTTTGGCTTTGTCGCTGCCACCCGCTCATCTTCAACATCATATGCTCTGCGTCTTACACCCAAGCTTCTGACCTCGTACCCTGGAGCCGGGATCTTTTATGGTGGCCTTGCCCTCCTCCCATGGGCGGGATCCAGAATTTTACCAATCAAAAAGCTGCACGCCGGCATGTGCTCCGCCTCATCCCTCATATCCGCCACTCAGCAGCTCTGCAGCACCACCCTCATCGCTACCTCCCACTTGGGGGTCGACGTCTTGTTGGACCCGGAAGTGGCTTTGGGTCACGAGGCTTCGCGGAGGCGGTGGGTGAGTCATGCGCGCGCGCGGAGGGGAGTGTGAAGGGGGGAGGGGAGGATAGGGGGGGCGGGGATGATGCAATGTTTGGCAACCGGTGTCTGCGCGCGCACGCGCAGGGGACAACGAGGGTGGTGGGAGGTACGGGGGGTGGGGGAGAGGAGAGAGGGCGGGGCGCCAGCTCACGGCACCCAACGGCTGCAACGGCTCTCAACTGTGGCCGCCCCTAGGCTGCCTTGTGGAGGCTTATCGCATCTTGTCTCCCCCAAGAACTGCCATTCTGTCACCTAGCATTACCCCCATTTTACCTTCCCATAAGGGACTTCCATTTGCCTTGACCCCTCCCTAGATAATGAGCACTTCGGCCCTTGAACCTTCCTCCTTTGAAAGTTTGCATCCGTCCGCCTCGATTGACATCTGGAGTCTTCTTAAAGGGATCTCCTCTTTTAGCTTCCCAATATTTCCAAAATATGCCGAGGTACTGGAACCCCCTAGGTCGTCCTTTTTCACTTCTCTCAGAAAAGCACCCTTGCCCTGATTCTTGGAGTTTCTGACTAGCCCTGGATATTTCTAGAATTCATGTTCCTAATCTGAACAATTCAATTCTGTTTTCCCCGCTT